ATAAATTAAAATGTTAAAATCAAATCTGATATTGTTTTACCTTTTATTTGGTGTGTGGAAGGTGTGCGGAAGAGGGGGTAGTCTTATACGGCGAGTATATAACAAACTCTGTATTTTGAGTGGAAATGTTAGGGGGTCGTCTTATACGCCCAGTCGTCTTATACGCCGGCAAATACGGTATATTGTGAACATCTTTTCATGTCAGTACATATGTTTCTATCTCCTTTGAAAAGAAGATGCAAAATAAGCCAATATATATGTGCCAATATATATATATATATAATTACCCCTCTGATAATAGGTATATTCTGTGTTTTTCTATCTTTGCCATTACAAACCATGCTGTAGTGAACAAGCTTGTATGTATCTAATTCTCATTAAAAAAATTTTTTTTATTGATTTCAGAGAGGAAGAGAGAGGGAGAAACCTGGGACCCTTCAGTCTGTAGGCTGATGCTCTACCTACTGAGACAAATCGACTAGGGCTGTCCTAATTTTCATTTTAACAGCTGAATTCCTAATCTACCACGCTAATGTCCCATAATAAATTAAATCATCTCCTATTTGGGGATATTTAGGTCATTTCCATGTCTTAGGTCATTTCCATTTGCTTTTGAAGATGATAGTCAATGATTGATTGACTCGTTCATTCAATGACTATTTATTGAGTACTGACAATGTGCCACTTGCTGGTCTAGTCCCTTGGATACAGCAGGGCTGTCCCTACCTTCTAGTTAGAGAGATGGATACAGACAAGTAAACAGATGAGATAGCTTCCCTTGTGCGCTATGAAGAAAATGCACAGAGCATGCCTGGAAGGGGTGGGAAGTGTAGTTGTGCCACTTGGGGCAGAGGAAGTCTGGTTATGAGGCCGATGCTCTAGTCCAGATGTTGCTGTGAACAGCTTTGTGCATATCATTATCTCCTTTCTTGGAATCATGTTTTTGGAATGTACTCAGAGGAGTGGATGAAAAGGGTGTGAACATTTGCGTGTCTCTTGATGTATACTGCCAAAATGTTTTCCAAAAGCATTGAAACAAAGTACAGTGCCCCTGGCCACATCAGCTTCTCTGCAGCCTCCTTGGCTGTGCCACCTTTCACAATACAGGTGAGCAGTGCAGCCTAGAGGGGCTACATGAGTTGCTTCCAGTTACATGATGGGAAAATTGCACATGCCCCCTTCTGCATCTTCAGATGCTCCCACTTGGTACTTTCTTACCCATTTACTTAGTTAGAATGACTACAGGCTTTGGAGCCAGCCCTACCTGTGTGACCTGGGGTAAGTCACTTAACCATAGCAGGGGCTTGATATATCATAGTTATCATGTGACTGTTTTCTGAACTCAATATTTTCCTCCCAAAGATGAATCAATGCCAAGAGCAAATTGTGAAACACTTTACCACCTACCGCCCAGTTCCCTTCTGTGCTGTTCTTTTTCAGCACCTCCCCCTCATCCTGCCTGGGGCCTGGCACTCTGCCCGTCCTCCTGGCCGTGGCCCTGAGGTACTGTGCATGCTAACACAGCCAGTGGTGTAACAGTTGATGCTCCTCCCTTTCCCCAAGAAAATGATTTTAATCTTCCCTGGGGCTTTCTGGAAACCAAGCCTCAATCTGGATTCTAGAAAAATGGTGTCAGTGGTGGTAATTTCAGTCACTGGGGCATACAACCAATCTCAGGATGTTGGCATCTGCGGTGTTGGCCATGTGCAGAGCCAGCGCCAGGAATGTGAGGGAGGCCCAGGATTGGAGATTGCATCTTCACTGTGTCTCCTAAGCCTGTTCTTATCTTTGCATTTCCAGAAGAGACCCTCCCCCTGGTGCTGGCCCTGTTTGCCTTTGTTGGCTTCCTAATTTCAGTCACTGGGATACAACCAATCTCAGGATGTTGGCATCTGCGGTGTTGGCCATGTGCAGAGCCAGCGCCAGGAATGTGAGGGAGGCCCAGGATTGGAGATTGCATCTTCACTGTGTCTCCTAAGCCTGTTCTTATCTTTGTGTTTCCAGAAGAGACCGGACTTCACTTCTAATCAGAGGGGCTGGAGAGTCCTCCCTTCTCCAGGGAGTGGGGACCTTCTTCAGTAGGCCACTCCTGCTTGCCCCCAGGACCTGGCATGGCCAAGCGAGCAGGGGTGTAGCACAGCTATGGATGCTCGGCAGCTCAGGAGTCATGCACAGTTTTACCCTTCCAGACTGGTCTGCCGAGGGCAATTGGCCCCTTCCCATGATTATAACAGCAGCTGCATCTCCAGTAACTTTCTGACATAACATATTCAATTCACCTGCCAGGAGCCTCATTGGTTCTCAGGGTGAAGTGCATGGGTGTGGATGTGGGAGGCATAGATTGTGCTTTGCTTTGGCTGGGGGGGAGGAACAATAT